GGGGTGGGGCCTTCTTCTCCGCAAAGGGAGTGATGGGGAGAAGGAGGTGGCAGAGACTGTGTACAAATGTTGCAAGGGGCGTGGGCAGCCACATCTAACACAGGACATCGAGAATTGCCAACCCAGTGACTTGACTCGACTGGTGATCGACACAGCCCATCACCCCCTACCCCAATGGCCTTCCAATTGGGAGCTGCCTTGCAGCTTCTTGGCTTTATAATACCTGAAGTTACAAGATCCATCTCTCAAGACCTCTAGGCCCCAGATCTCCCAGAACCCTTCAAAGATGCTCACATGGCATCAGTAGTAGAACCATTCTTATTTTTTTTTAACTGTGGTAACATACACATGACATAAAATTCACAATCTTAATCATTTTTAAGTGTACATTTCAGTGGTATTAAGTACATTCATAATGCCATACTATCATCACCACTATCCATCTCCAAAAGTCTTTCTATCTTGTAAACCTGAAACTCTATACCAGTTAAACACTGATTCCCCATTCCCCCATTTCCTCTAGCCCTTGGTAACCACCATTCCACTGTCTGTCTTTGTCATTTTGACTACTCTAAGTATTTCATATAAATGGAAACATACAGTATTTGGCTTTTTGTGACTGGCTTATTTCACATAGTATAATGTCCTCAAGGTCATCCATGGAGTAGCCATGCCATTTTTGACAAAGCCTCTGCCCAGTGCTCCTACTAAGTGATGGAAGATGCTTTCCACCTCATTATCTTCTTCCAAGAGGGCAGGGAGAAACTGAGACCAGTGGAGAGAAGTGTCTTACCCAAAGACAACAAGGCTCAGGAGAGTAGGGAAGGTAAGACTGCCGGTTCTCTGCTTCTACCTCCAGCTTGAAAGGCAGAGGCCAAGCCTGGGAATGCAGAGTGTCACCATGTGACTTTGAACATGGTTCTTCACCTTTATATGCTCGGTTTCCCCTTTGCTCAAATGTATATAATAAAAACTGACTTTCTTTTCTCAAAGAGTTGTTGTAGAGATCAAATATGGTTTTTAAGTGCATTTAAAAGTATAGTGTCCTGTACAGTAACATGTGGTTGCGAACCAGAGTTTGGTAAATCATAATAGCAGCTCATCATGGTATTCATGCCATCTCAGTGTAATGCGGTCAAGACAGTTGGGCTTAGGAGGCCATGTAGATGCAAGTGAAGGGTTGGGAGGGGATGGCATCCAGCCATAGCTACTCTGCACTGGGATTGTAGCTCTGTGCCGGGGCACTATTACTAAACACTGCTGTTGGGCTTATTTATTCACCCAGAAAATACACATCAGAGGCCCATTCTGTGCTGGGCACTCTGCCAGGCTTTGGGGACATAGGTAGACAAAGTCCTGACTTCATGGAGTCTGCAGTCTAGAGATGGAGACTGATATTAAACGAATGGTCACATAAATCCCCGCACGATTACCAGCTGGGGCCAGGGCTATGAAAGGACAGTGCAGAGTGTCTAGAAAGAGCACAGTGGGAGGCCTGCTCTATCCTGGCAGCTCCGAGAAGGCCTTCCTGTGAGTTGGCATGAAATCTCAGATTGAACTGGAAAGCAGGCCAGTGTAAATGGAGCACAGTAAGTGAGACAGGACGTACAGTTGCCCTGTGTCACTGTTATACACCATAACATCGCTGCTATATTTTGACATCATCTATTGTGGCCGGCTCCTGTGCAGTATGAGTAGAGTATGGAGTAGAGTCTGTAAACTAATGGAGGCCCTCCCTGCTCCTCCTGGAGGCCGCAGTCCAGGTGCAGATATGGCAGTCTGGCTAGTAAATGCCACCTTCCTCATAAAGAGCATTATCAGTCATGTGTAGCTGCCACCATTTGCAGTTAAATGCTAATTTACTATAAATACCATAGTATAGGTGTTTGTGTCATAAATATAATTTTACATGATTACATCTGTGAAAATCTCCTGCCTTTCCTTCCTAGATTGGATTATCTGTCTCTTTAATGTAGAAGAAGAAAAAGGGGGGAGGAGGAGGTGGAGGAGGAGGAGGGGGAGGGGGAGGAGGGGGAGAAGGACAACGACAGGCATGAGGGCAGGCCTGTCTCATTCTTCACACAGGGTCTGGCATGTCTGGTGCAGCCTCAGGGAGGAACACAGACCTGCATATCTGCCTGCCTCTCACAGGCCACATGACCTAAGGGGGATTATTTCACTTCACTGAGGCTCAAGAGACTGAATATCCTGAGGGGATGTTAGGAGTGAAAGGGAGCAGGACAGAGGCAGCGATGTGGCCGTCCGTCTGTGTTCCAGCCGGTTTCCAGCAATGTGATGAATTCCTCTGAGGTCGGGCTCTGTTTACTGCCCTAGAATGCTGACAAGTATCCTTTCCTCCCTCCCTCCCACCTTTCCTTCTGTACTCAAACTAATTTGAGTAGATTTTCATTATTTGCCAGCAGAGAAATCTCAGCAAGCACCCTCCTTCACCAACTTGTGTGAGGATTAAATGAGATAAGTGTATGAGTGCTTGACATGGCACTGGGTGGGCAAGCAGAATTCTTGGAATGCTATTTCCCAAAATGAGTTTAATAAACTGTAACACCACTCGGGGCTGGGGAAGTGGCAGTGGAGGGGGTGAGGGATGGAGGGGGAAACAAGTTTCCCCTAAAACACTTTCCCTAAAAGTGTTCCCTGACTTATCTTTGGAAACACCGGATACTATAACCCCTCTTAGATTCCTGTTGATTAGCATATTCAGAACTGAAAGATCTTATTATAAAAGAACACATTTAGTTGTGCTTAACTCTGTGTTTCCCAGACTTACTCAAACTCTGTGTTCCTTTCTCCCCTATAACGCTGAGGCATGTCCCCCAGGAAATGGGACACGCTGCTGTAGTCAGGGAAGGCTGGTCTAGAGCACCTCTAAGGCACCTTGAAGCCCTCAATCTGGAGTCTTTATTATTATTTTTCACCTTCTCCAAACGTTTAGTAGTGAATTCTCATGACTGTTAGGCTCTTTGTTGCAACTCAGAGCTGTCTTAGCAACAGGATTAATGCCGGTGGTTGGGGATTTTCTCCAGCTCTTATAATAAGAAACACGTATTTTCACTAGGAAAACGTTGAGAGTTTAAACTTCAGTAGAGAACCATTTCTGAGGGTTGGCGCTCTTTGATCCTGAAATCCCCAAATCACAAAATCTAGAGCTTGAGGACGTACAGAAAGCATCTAGTTCTCCATCACCACCCCATTGGCCATCTGAAGCCCAGAGAGGGGAGACATTTTGGTCAAGGTCACAGACCTCTTTCCAACTTGCCATCCCTGGACAGCAGATGATGACATAAATAAGTGTGTAGAGTGGACAGTATTGACCTCTTTCTGACCACTGTCGCTCTTGTAATTAAACAGAAATGTTAACATAAATCAAACGGTCTTTCCACCACCATTATCACTAACAGTGCATTCTGTCCAGAGAAGGTGGAAAGGCATTGCTCTCAGGCCTGCAGCAAGCCATAAAACCTTCCAGTGCTAATGAACCATTGCTTGAGCCAATTAAGAGAGAAAGGAAAACTGTCTTTAATTAAGGCATCACATATCCCATGGGCTCTCTCTAACTTATACCCAGAGGTACTGCAAAGCCCCTCTGGACCCAGTTGCCATGCTTTTGGAAAGAGTAAATCAACTCTGTTTAAAATGGACCTGTCTGGGTATTTAAAAATTTGGGTTCTAATCTGAGCTGTACCACTGACCATGGGTAAATCCCATCTCATGTGTAGACCTTGGTTTCTTTATCAATAAAATCATCCTTTCCTTCACTCAAATTCATCAAATAGTTTTTGAGCATCTACTGTGGGCTTATCCCTGCTGCCCAGAATCAGGGACAAAAGGACCACTAAGGCTCAGTCCCTGTTCTTTGTTGGCTTGAAGGCCAGTGGAGTCCACACAATGGGTAAGTCTTGTTCAACAACCAGGCCTGTGGGAGCTTAGAGAAGGGAGTAACTAATTCTGCCTGGGAGGTTGGGGAATGCTTTGCAGAAGAAGAGACATGAGTTGCATTGTGAAGAAGGGTTAATGAGTTAAAGAAGGGACAGCATGTCCTCAGCAGAGGGTGGCCTTGAGGAAGGTAAGGAATCAGGGACCAATAGGACATGTCTAGGGAACTAGGCTTTGTGGCTAGAGCAACAGTTCTAAGAGTACAGGGTGGGAGGGGAGGCAGAAAGGAGGACAGACAGGCACCAGGTCACACAGAATGAATGTTACAAGTTGTGGGACTCATCCACTCTAAAGAGGTATAATGAGGGCAGTGAAGTTAGACAGCCAGTGGTTCATTGGCTGTGTGACTCTGGGCAAGCCTGTTGCCTCAACTGTCAAATAAGAATAATAACACTATCTCAGAGGATTCAATATTCTAGCAGATGACCCACCGGGCAGTGAAATTTTAGGCTATATAAATTATGGTGTTCATCCCAGAGAAAGAGAGTTCAAGGTCTGAGCACATGAGTGAGTGTGGGGCTGGCTGGTATGCCCACATCTGAGAGAAATGCTGTTCAGATGACCTGGGATGCCACTCTCCTTCATTAATGATCTCCAAAAAGAAACACAGAATCAAAATAGTCATCACTGTAACCACCATATGATACTCTGCAAAGCACATTTGTCTCCACCATTTCTTTTGATTCTCCCCAGTACCCTGCCAGGTATGTGATCATTGCCTTCATTATGCAAGAGAAACTGAGCATCAGACTGGAAAGCAAATTCCCCAAGGTTACACGGGAAGTAGGTGCCAAAACTGATTCTAATTTTCTTGATTCCGGGTCTAGTGAACTGACCAGAAAACCCCAGCAAGTTACCTCAGGTGGCTGTGCATGAAACATCCAAGGCTCATTAGCCACATTCTCAAAAGCTAGGGTGAGACTTCCTCTAATGAACTCATGGGTAGTAGGAAAATTCTTTCTCAAAAATATATTCCCCTTTTCTCCTTGCTTCCATCCCACCATCCTGTGACTGCCAGCTTCCAAGCATTCTCCCCTGCCCCTTACCTGTAATTGCCTAAGTAGACTCCATCTGGGTTGAGCATTGGTGCAATCTTGAAGACCAGGTGTTCCCGGAGGACACGGGCAATAGGGTGCTGGCTTATGAGGAAGTCAATGATCCCTAGGGAAAGAAAAGCATCTGGGTTAACCTCGAAGTGTTTCAAGAGGGAGGAGCACATTTTACCCAGCTTGGAAGCAGTAAAAGCTCGAAAGGTGAATTTTGACCTGTGTTGTCAACCATCGTGGGTATGTGGCTATGGATTAGGTGTTGCCTGGAAAATTTTACAAATATATCTCTGTTTCCAAGAGACAGTTCCAAACATAATGTTGAAGCCCATGGGCAGAAGGGAGAGCACATTTCCTGCTGCATAGCCCATGAGAGCTTCTAAGAAAAGAGTATTTGAGTTATGCCTTGGAGGGCCTGGGTTTTGACAGACAGAGATGAGGGAGAGGCAGGATAACCCTAAACAATGAATTAAGAGATGCTCTCCAATGGCTAAGTGTTGATATTGGATTGGATGATTATGTGTTCAGGGACTCAGGGATCTAAACCCTCCTGTTGCTGAGGCAGAGAGAAGGGATTTGGTTAAAGTCACATGAAGAGAGAAAGGCTTCTTCAATGTCCCTACTCTGCCCCTTTCCACTTTGAGGGCCCTCTGTTCACAGACTCTAGGGCTGGCTGTCCTCGCTGATTCTCACCGGCACCAATACCACTTGCCTTCAGGTCACCAAATTTAGGAAAGTTGAATTCTCCATGACTGTACCCCCTCAATCAGGCAGTCTCCAAGTCTCTTCCTTGAATCTAGCAAATCTGCTCTTCATCTCCATCCCTCTGCTGCTCGTCTGTTCTAGGCCACCACCACATCTGGCCTGAATGACTGCAAACACTTTTGGAATGTGCCCTCAACAGTGTAGCTAAAGGGATCTTCCCGAAGTGCAAATCTGAGCCTCTCACTGCCCTTGCTGACTTCCTTCTGGTGATGGTCTGCATAGCCAGACAGGAGAGGGGCTCAGGAAACAAACAACCTGAGTCCTCATGCCTCCCTTTTCTCCTCCACATTTCTATCCCTTCTTCAGAGACCTGAAAAAAAATAGGCAAAATGGAGCTCTGGCATTCCATGAAATGACTGTAGAGCTGGAGAATGGTAGGGAAGTGCACGACCCTCCCAAGGTGTAGAAGGGAACTCCTTTCCTGCTGGAGAGAGAAGGAAAGGCATCAAGCAGAAAGAGGCTTTGAACTGGGCCCTGAAAGATAAGTATGTTTTGACAGACAGACAGGAGGAAGCAGCAGGGTAACTAAGAACGATCCATGTGCCAGCGGCAGGCACTTAGCTCCTGGAATGATAAATGGCTCCACAGCATATCCTAACTCTGCTGTGACCAGTGAGCGACATCTCAGGCTTTTCATTAGGCCAGGGCTCAGAATCCATCGGCAGCCGAAAGCCAGTTGGACATCATTTACTTCTCCACCGACGCGGCAGTAGACCAGATGCCCTAATTTATTTGTTGGTCTTCATATTAAAGCTGCAGTTTGCCAGTAAACAGGCAGGGTAATGATACCAGGTGCCCTTGTTAGGGGCTAATAATTGCTTAATCTGTCCACTAATTGACCCCAGCTCCCGGGGCAGCCCTCCATCAAGGAGCCAGCCTGCACTCAGGGCCTGGCCATGCTGCCTCAGAGAATGGCAGAGAATGGCTTCTGGAAATGGAGTAGCTCACCGTGATCCATCCTCCTTCACAGATGAGCAGATTAATTGGGCTGCCAATTAGGCAGCTAATAAAAGGATGAGAGAAAACAAAGCCAGGCCAGAAGCTGCAGCCACCCAGAGCTCCCTCTCCCACAGTGAGTGTGGGGCAAGGAGAGGAGAGGTTTCAGACTCCTCTCTTGGCTTGAAGTCAGATACAGTTCAACAGGGAATGCTGAATCATTCCCATAGATCAGGAAGTTGGTAGGCGAGCCTTTGCAAGTAGAGAGGAATATGAGGAGAAATAGTGGAGAAAGTAAGAGCGCAGAAGAAACGCCACCCCCAGCCACAGGCCAAAAGCATTGCATAGACTGAGAAAGCAGAAGGACCTGGACACCTGCGTTCAAACCCTAACTGGTTATTAGCTGGAGAAGCTGCCAGCTCTCTCTGCCCAGTTTCCTCATCTTGATACAGGGATTATAATACTCAGTCTGGAAGGCTACTGTGTGAATGGGCTAAAATGCCTGTACTTTAACTGCCTGACACAGAACCTGAAAATTGGGCTTTACTAAAGATTGAGAGGCAACGAGGGGAGAAAAAACAGAATGGGATTTGAAACTGGGGGTCTTGGTCTGTGAAGTTTGCTAGCTATGGGATCTGGGAATAAGGATGCCAAATTGAAGAAGCCAACAAACCAGCTGTCTGAGAACTTGGGTTCTAGTTGTGGCTCAGTTACTGGCTGAGTTTTACAAAGTCTCCAGCCTACTCTCATCTTTAAAGTTAGGAGAAAGAAGTTGGTAATTCTCAAGGACACTTTCCACACTGGCAGTCTGTAATTCCATCTTTTTCTTCCTCTCCCCCAAAGTAGAAGGATCTTCATCTATCAAGTGAGGAGAATAATCTCCCTCCTGCCAGGAGACACAATCAACCTCCTTAGATCAATCTTTGTTCCTTTGGTAAACAAGTTTGCTGGGTCCTTTCCCTTGAACTCATTTAATCAGGAAGGTGGAAGAAAGCAGGACAACAGGAGGGCTGGAGGCTTGAGGGCCTGGGGTAGAGGCAGAAAAAGTGATAGATGATCTGAAATTACAGCCAGGTCATAGAGATCACTGCTCTGGGCCAACCTTGGCCTGGTCATGATGAACCTCGCCGTTCAACCCCAAATGGCCATTCATTGTTATTTCTCCTAGTGTACTTAGTTCAGGGCAGGGTACACAGAAGGTGCCTAATAAATGCCCTTTAGGAGACTGGCCCCAGGTATTCATTTAACCTTGACAGAGTATAGGATTAACTGAACAGAAAATCACTCAGGGCTATGTCCGTGCTATAAGCCTAGCATTCCAAGATACATAAGTGGTTCCTGTCATAGAAGGTGCATGGTAGGCGAGAAACACCCACTCTGGTGACTGGCAAAGGCTCAGGTGGGAACAGTCCAAGGAGCCATGAGGACCCAGAGGGCCTGGGAAGGGACTATGGAAAAGGGAGACGTAAAGGATGAGTAGAATGAGCCGTAGAAGGGATGCCAGGAGAAGGTGCTCCAGGCAGGGGGGTCCTGCATAAAGGATAGGAGGTGAGGAAGAAGATGGCCTGGCTTCATGATTAAAGGCATAGACTCTGAAACTGGACTACCTGGGTTTGAATAGCTATGTGGCCCAACCTCTTGGTTGCTCAGTTCCTCATCAGATAAGGAGAGAATAAAATTACCTTGTAAGTCATTGTGGGGATCTCAGTGAGCTAATAGCAAAGGGTCTGGCACATAAGAAACTTTTATGCATGTTGTCTGAATCATTGCTCCTACTTGGTTTGGCTGACGCTGTGGGGATGAGGGTGTTGAGATAGAAAGGGAAGAGGTGAACAGGGACTTGCCAGTCCAGCTGAAGGATATGAAAGACACAGGAGACCACTGCCAAGTACAGGGGCAGATCTGGGCTCTCCCAGCTGCAGCAAGGAATGCGGTTTGGGAGGAAGGAATAACGGAGGTCTCGATGACCTGAAGGTGGACAGGGTGGAGGTTGGGGGGCAGACATAGCCGAGAGCCAGCAAACATAGAGTCTTGCAGTCAGGAGCCAGGGTCTGACATGGTGCTGACCTGCAGAGGCTCTGCAGTGACCAAGGCCCAGAAAGTTGTGAGGATGCAGCAGGTGTAGGGGAAGGAATGTGCATACATGGTGATACCAATGATGAGATTATTTGTCTACCATCCCCAAGAGCATCAGAACTCTTCACTGAAATTACACACTCCTGGGGAAAGATGATACCAAAATGACTGAGATTAAGCTTCTGGCCCCTGGCAGAATGGGGCCTCAAAATAGAAAGTAAGTTCAGTTACAGAAAAATAGGGAAAATTATGTTTCCTCTGCCTCTGAGGTTTGGTGATTGAGGTTTGCACCTGCTGTTTGTCTTTCTTCCCTCCAGACTGTGAACTCCAAGATGGCAAAGACAGGTCTACCTCTTTGCCACTATTTTTTCAGTGTCTAGCTCAGTGCTAGGAATAAAGATGGACCAGTGATGGGCACTGTATGTTCATTAGCTGGATTGACCTGTAATTTTATTGGCTCCATTTACAGATAGAAAAACAAAGTCAGGGTGGTGACATCATTTGCTGAACATCTCACAGGGGCCTAGATGGGATGCAGATCCAGTTCTACTGGCTTCAAAATGGTGCCCTTTCCACTAAGGCAATATGGAAGAGTCAGGAGGCTATTTGCATGTGATTTGTAGAATGATTTGCATATATGCATATATGCATATAGAAAGTTCCATGTGAGGTTTATTGTTGCTGTTCTCTACTAAGAGGCAATATGTTGCAGTGGGAAAAGTCCAGGCTTCAAGCAAGATAGTTGGGGGTCTCTGCTGGACCCAGAGTCCAGAGTGTGGGTCACATGATAGCAGCCACTCCAGGCCTTTTCCTGACCTGGCACCAGGCCCCTGTCTACCCTAAGCTGGGTCCATGGGCCCAAAATTATGGAATCAGAGGGAGTCTGGCCTTGAAGAACCTGAAATTCACAGTCTTGGTTCTTACCATCCAACCCCTACCTCTGCTCATTTCACAGATGAAAAGATAAGTTCAGGGAAGTGAAAGGCCCATGACAACCCCTTAGTGGATCTGGTGTTTCACTTATAATATGAGGCTGTCAGGGATGGGGGGGGGGGAGAAGAGGGAGAATAGGTGAGGATAGAGGTGGGAAGAAAATAGTGGGGGGGGGGAGGGAGAAAGCGGCAAAGGTGACCACTTCACTGGAGGAAACAGTAGGTTGGGCTTGGTCCTGGTGGTCCTGGTGGTTGTGAGTGGTGTGTGTGTGTGTGTGTGTGTGTGTGTGTGTGTGTGTGTGTATAACTCTTCCATCTTCTTATCACCTGAGGGTAGCCCTGAAGAATAAACTGCCCAAGGGAAGGCCAGCTCTATCTCCATAGTCTAGGCCCTGGTGGGTACCTTAGCACCTTGGCAGCAGAGCTCACGAATCCTCACAGCAGCCCCTTGAGTGGTCCCAACAACCCCAGGAAGCATCCATGAAAGAACATTCACTCTACCAGAAATCAGACACCTGAGGTCTAGTTCAGGCCAAACCTCTGACTTGCGATACAGTCTTACTGGTGCAGAAATGAGGAGGGTTCACTAACGGCTCTCTCAGGAAAGCAGCAAGGAAGGTGGGGTGGCACACACAACACAGGAATGACACCCCAAGGGGTTTGGGTGCCCTGTGAGGGTTAGAGGAACCATACTTGGCACCTGCAAGTGCTCCATTAGTAACACCTATTTAGTGCTTATTGTATTGCAGACACTGTCCTAAATATTTTATGGGTATTAACTCATTTAATCTGCACAACAACCATATGAGGTAGGATGTCTATCATTATTTCCCTTCCCAGATAAGGGAACTGAGTCACAGAGAGGTTATGGAATGACCCCAAGGTCATACTGTACTATGTGAAAGAGCTGGGCTTCAGTGTCAGGCAGTCTAGCTCCAGAGGTCATGATCACACACACTCTGCTACAGGGCAACTTGGAAGCTCCTTTGACCTTTCATGTCATGGCTGGAGAATGAGGATAGTCTGGCCTCACAGAGCCCATGTGTGGGGTTTGGGGCAGCTGAGGGGTGATTGACAATCTGCCGTCCCACGGCCAAGGCGAGTCTTGAGGAAATCAAAGACTTGCCACCCTCACTGGCGCCCCTCCAGAGCTCTGTGATGACATGATTTCACTCTACTCCCAGCAGCAGGTGCGTCAGCAGCTTGGCTGTGAGGACCATGGTCCCAGCCAGATGGGGACGAACAGGCCCCACATGTCTGTTCCCCGCTCAAGGTCACTGAGCCAGTTAATGTGGAAGAAGCATTAACTGAGCCGAAGGTACCTCAGCCATCACCCTTCCAGGCCTTGGACCCTGCTGCTCTCCCCAGAACAAGGTGGGCTTGGAGGGGATCCAGCTGTGCCCTGTGGGGCTGTGGTCCAACTTGAGAGACCCTTGGGAAAGATGATGCCTCAGTCTCTCATTGGCAAAGTGGAGGAATGAGGCTGTCTTAAGCTGCCTCCAGAGGGATAAATTGTATCTCCAGGGACAGTGACAGAGCTAGGGAAGGAGGAAGACTGGGATTAAAGGGATGGGTCCCAAGCCACATGTGCCACAAATTCACTGTGTGATCTTGGGTAAGCTACTTTAGTTCCCTGTGCCTCCCCATTCTCATCTGTAAATGCACATCAACCATTGTGGGGTTCCCAGAGTACTATGTTCTCCCAGGCATAAAGCTTGGCTTTCTAGCACTTCCCATCTCTGAGTGGGGCAAAAGTGCGTGTACAGGCTCAGGAGACCCAGACTCAAAGCCCCCCCTCTGCTGTTTACTGACTGTGTGACCTTAAGGCTCCTCTTTCTGAGCTCAGATTTGGAATCCCAGAACCAACACAGCATTTGCTCCTCACAGCAGCCCCATGGGATGAACGAGATAATCCCCATTTTCCAGATGTAGAAAATGACACTCCAGGATCCAGCCCTAGGCCTCAAATAGCTCACAGTTTAAAGGGAAGAAATAAATATAAATCAAAAAATAACAAATCACGGCAATAAAGATGACCAGTGGGTAACCACAACAGAGGTGCAAAGCAGGGTCTGAAGGGAGTGGGAGAGGGGAGTGGGTATTTTGAACGAACCTTGGGAGATGGGAGATGTTTGCCAGGTTGCAAGGGGTGGGCAAAGGAGCAGCAGATTCAAAGGCCTGGTGATTGGAAGAAGATTGCCTGTTCAGGGTTAAATTGTGTGTGCAGGGGGTGGGGGGGATCTAATGAGGCTTGGACCAGAGAACCTGGCAGGAGCCAGATCGTGGAGGGTTGTAAATGTCATGAGAAGGAATTGGAGTTTATCTTGAGAAGGTAGAGAGAAGGTTTTAAAAGGCTCTGCCAAGGAATAAACACTGATGGAAAGCCTGTGGGATGGCACTGAGTCTATCAACTCAGCACCATCCAGATTCCTTTTTGGAAAAGCAGGCTCAACAGAGAAAGCACCTGAGATGTACTTCTCTGTGTCTCAGGCCTTGTCTGTAAAATGTGATTGTGACCCTGCCCTCTGTCTACTGCCCACACAGGAGGTGGGCCTGGGAGCTTGGGCCCCCAGAGCTGGAAGTATTGATGGTAAGGCTACTACTATCTTTTTTACAAAACAAGGACAAAATAGTTGTATCCAATCAGCCGGGGGAACAGGTCTGCTGCCAAGTTTAGTAAGTGACAGATGGCTGCAAGTAGAGGGTCTGGTAAAACCAGGAGGGACCTCGGAGAGGTTACTGCAAGGACAGCACTGGGAGGAAAGAGGATGGAAGTGAGAAAGGCCAAGGAGTAAGCTGGAGTGACAGCAGCAGGGAGCCGAGGCACCGGCCTTGGCTCTTCTGAGTGGCTCATCTTTGGGCAATCACTTCCTCTCCCTGAAACTCTGGCTCCTGGTCTGAAAGAAAAGGGGAGGCAATCGTGCCTAATCACAGCACCGTAGACTCAATTATGAATGGGAAAAGAAGACTCATATTAATTTGCATGGTGCCTTAGAGTTTACAGAGCAGATTACCTGTGGCATCTTTGCAGACTGCCATGGGGAAGGGGGTAACATCTGTCCTGAGCGTCTGCTAAGTGCCAGGCACAGGACTGGGAGTTTGTCCACATCCATCTGACACCAGCTTCACAACAGCCTTTGCAAATGGGTACTGAAACCCTAATTATTTTACCTCTAAGGAAACTGATATCACACTGCTAGGAAGTGTGCTAGACAATTTTTGGCCCCAAGACTGTCTGATGGCAAATCACCATATATGTCCACAGCAGTCCACTGTCTCCCTCAAGTTGTATAATTTCTATGTTTTTTTTTTTTTTTTTTTTTTAATATCCCTTTGACCTTTTGGTCATTTAGAGACTAAAATGAGACAAATGACTTACCTTCACCAGACCTGGGTTTGCTCATATGTAAAAATATAGTTAATATTAGTTCCCATCACATAGAAAATTTAATATAATTAAAATAAATTACATTAAATTAGCAAAATATAAATAATTAAAATAAAATAAAATACGTAAGGTGCTTAGAACAGTGCTCAGCACATATACAGTGTCACATATTTTATATGTGGTATACCCACTGCACAGGTAAAAATGCAAAAGTATTGGTGAGAATGTGGGACATTACGAACTCTCACACATTGCTGGTGGCAGTATAGAGGTGTAGGTCTCAAAAATTTGGAGATATCGTTAAGTTTAAGATGCACATATCCTGTGGCCTGTCAACTGCCTTCCATGGTTATATGCCCTAGAAAAGCATTTGTGACTGATGAATGGATAAAGAAGATGTGGGATATATATATAATGGAATATTACTCAGCCATCAAAAGGAATGAAATCTTGCCATTTGCAACATGTGGATGGAGATAGAATGTATTATGCTAAGCGAAATAAGTCAGTCAGAAAAAGACAAAAACCACATGATTTCACTCATATGTGGAATTTAAGAAACAAAACAGATGAACACATGAGAAGGGGGGAGAACAGGGAGAGGAAAACAAACCATAAGAGACTCTTAACTATAGAGAACAAACCAAGGGTTGATAGAGGGAGGTGGGTGGGAGATGGGCTAGTGGGTGATGGGTATAAGGAGGGCACTTGTTGGGGTGTTGTATGTAAGTGACGAATCACTGAATTCTACTCCTGAAACCAGTATTGCACAGTATGTTAACTAAAATTCAAAAAAAGACAAAAAGAAAATCATTTGCACATTTGCACAAAGCAACACACATATAAGGACATTTGTATCAGCATTGTTTGTAAGAAAAAACACTATCATCAATGGAATTGTCCATGAGAACAGACAGGTAGTTGAGATGCAGAAAGACATGGAGTGCATGGCAAAAAGAAATGAACTACAGCCACACTCACCAACATGGATATTGGGTGAACACAAGCACCAATGTACACAGAATGATACCTTTTTTTAACTTTATAAAAAGCCCCCAAACATGCAAAACTAAACCCTACATTGTTTAGGCATGCTTACATGCATAATAAAACTATTAAGAAAGACAAAGACAAGATTCAAGCTTATGGTTATCTGTGTGAGGAGGAAGGTGGAAAGCAGGACAAAGGATTTAAAAGGAATAGATAATATTCTGCTTCTAAAGCTGGTGAGTACCTGGGCATTCATTAAATTGTTATTTATATATTATTTATTGAGTATACTTATATTGCTGACCAACGAAATACATATGTATGCATGTATATATATTGTTGACTAAATATACATTTCATATGGATTAAATATTTAATAATAAATAAAAATGCAATTATAAAGAGATATCTCTGAGACGAAAACTTGTGTCTTATTTACCTCTGATTGTCTGATACAAAGCATGCTTCCTGGCTCATAGTAGGTATTTCAAAAGTTGTTTCTTAAGTGAATGACTGAATTAATGAGTGAACAGATAGCTTCTAATCTTTACCTCCCTGCTTTACTGTACTCCTACTAACATATACATTGGCCTGGGGCCAGATTTCTTAATTTTGTAAACAAGAAAAGCCAAGCTAAGAAGTGTAGATGACTCTGTGTGGCTTATCCTCAACATAGCACATATGAAAGAATTCCATTTAGCCCTACCTATTCAGCCATCCAACCATTCATCCACCCATTCTTCCACCCATACATGTAGCTAGTAAACATTTATTGAAAGAACTACTAATGGAGATCAGCTATAACCTCTTTAGAAATGAAGTACATTTGCATCCAAGATAATGACTCTGCATGTGACCACACTGTCCCAGAAGCCATCACAGTGCCCCAGTCGGATGTCGGGGATAGGCACAGGATGCTCGTGAGATTTTGCAACTCACCTTGGCACACAAATGAAGAGGGTGTTTCCCCTGGGTGGACTCGTCCTGTGATGAATACCACCTTCTGCTCTGCCCCTTCCCGAAGGTTGTCTGTAACATAAAAATGGAAGGAGGTTGCTTAGGGGGCACAGGGAAAGCTGAGACTACGAGTTGGTATGGGAGAGAGGGGTAGGGAATGGTCTGGGTGCTTTATAGTCATTTCTTAAATCATTGGGTTAGAATCATGCAGGCCCAGTCATTGCTGACTAATTAAATTACATCCCTGGCTACCCAATATTAAAAGGCTACACTCCTCTTCTTTGGTATAATTGATCATATCAATATTACAATCATCTGAAGACGTCATATGAGTGAAGTCAAATCCCAGATCCACTGATTATGACCCTAGCCAAGTTGTGTATCCTTTTTGAGTTTCAATTTACTAATCTATAAACATGGATAGTGATTAAATAAGCTTACATATTGCCTAGTATACAGTAAACATTCAGTAAATACTGGAGTAAAGAAAGTAGCTATTTATATCAGTAATAGTACTAGTAGCAGCTGCTATTTAATTAGCACCTTTTGAGTCATGCATATTACACACACTATTTATAGTCTTTACAGAAACATGCACAGTTAATATTCCTTTTATAGAGGCAGAAACTGATGCTCAGAGAGGTTATATAACTTGCTCAAAGTTACACAGCTAATAGGTGTGGGTCGAGCTGAGATTAGAATCCAAACCCTTGCTTGGCCTAGATGAAGTAATAGGGACCAGATTTCTCTTTCAACTTAAGCAACTGAAAAATTGCTTATATTATATTTGCAAATATACAAAACAACTGTTTTCAGACCAGAGGCAGTGCAAGACTAATATATGAACAAAGGGACATACATGAAGTGTGCCCTATGATTGCCCTGGCTCTCTGCCAGGAGGCCCATTCCAGACCAAAGAGCAAAGAAGAGTTTCCTGAGCAGACCATGGAAGTCTCACTGCAATTAAACTTCAGAGAGTCTGAAGCAAGTTTGTAGCTTGCACATTCCAGAAAACTCTGCACATTCCAGAAAAGACAGAGCTCTGTGGAAAAGGAATCCTAGAAATCTGTAAAGGCGTCCTTAAGAGTGTTTTTTTGGGTCCCAAGATGTGCATGCATAGGGTCTCCATGACATCACAAGAAAGGGTCTCCATGGAATCATGAGAAAGTGATCAGGGAGAAGTGACCTGTGCAGCTCTCAGGGATCACTCAGGGATAAGAATCATTTGAGTTCCACCACCAAAGTGGTATTCCTCACTGATCATTCAGGGCATTCAGTAGAGAACCCAGAAGGGCCATGTCTTAATGGTGGGACTAAACTACTCCAGATTCATTCTAACAAAATGTTTAAATCACAAAAAGACCAAACTGAACAAAAGAAATTTAACTGCCTGCCATATAAAGTGCAACTCTCTTTAAGGGAAGACAACAAAATCCAGACATGCAACAATGTACAGTTCACAATGTCCAGCATGCAATAACAATCAACAGACATGCAAAGAAGTAGGAAAATATGGCCCCAAAGCAGAGCCCAAGCTCTTGCTGCTTTTACAGAAATCTCATTTGTATAATAAAGTTTAGCTATCATGCAAAGAGATTATAAGACAAAAGCAGTAGCCAAGAGTGACATTCCCAGAAGGAAGGGGCAGGGGGTTACTTAGTCACTGGCACCAGAAGGCCAGATTGACCCAGAACGGAACCATGATCTGAAGGAAATTCAGAAATAAACATTGTGAGAAGTTGGATTAAAGAATCCTATATGCATATTAGAGGATGACCTGGAGGGAGAGGGGAGGTAGAAATAATTAACAGGCTTTTTTTTTGTTTTTGAAATGCTAGGGACAGGTTATTTTGAATGTGGTTTATGATCCCAATAGTTGCACCAACGTCAGAGACTAAAATAAAAAACATGTATTAACTTTATTAAGCCTGGTTCTTAATAAAGTCCCAGGCTTGGGACTTGCCTGGTGCATTGGGGTGACCAGTATGGAGGTCATTTCTTCTCTAATCCTAGGCCTCTGAGAGGCAGCAACAAATACAGTGAAGCCAAAATACATTTTTCCCCCCATCCCAACCCAAAAAATAACATTCTTGAGAACTCACTCTGTGCTCAGCTCTGTGTTTGGCACCTTTAGGAACAAACGGGAAGAGAAATTTATGGTTTATAAGAGGAGTTAGACACCTAAGTATTTCCTAGACTAAATATAGGCTCTTCCAGGAAGAAGCTGCACTTTCATGGTTATTTTTAACGTCATTCCCAGGACTCTGTGTGGAATAGGTACTCAGGAATTTGCTATTGAATTACGGAATAAAAACACTCATACAGATCATGGCTTATCTTATTTAATCTTTATGACACCTCCATGTAGTGGACAGTATGAACCCCATTTCATAGTGAGGAACCAAGGCTCACAAAAGGAAGATCTGTGCCCAAGGTCATGTGGCTAGCAGTGGTGGAGTCGAGCCTCAGTTCCCAGCCTAGGACTCCTCTCATGACCCTATCTCCTCCTGGATTGACCAACAGCAGTATCAGATGTCACATCTGCTGCACTTCCGTCTACAATGTACACAAGAGAGTTTGGTTTCGACCCTTTTTGCTGTGGTGGAATTTGAGCTACTGCCTTAGTGTTTACAATTGTTTTTTCACTTACAAAACAAAAAATGAAATGCCACCAAGACCTTTTAAAAAACACTAACACTGACCCCATCTATCCCAGCAGTCCAGAAATGATAAATAGCATTACCAAGGCCCTCAGTGAAGGCTACCTTTATGGATGTCTCCCCTGACCTGGTATCAACTCAATTGCATTCAGCATTTCTGCTGACCACAGAGAAATGCAAAATGGGCATTCTATTTGCACACTAATTTTACTGAGCCCCTGCGTCTTCATAAAATGATAACATGGGGCTAATAAAAATCAAGCATCTCGGGTGCTAATATAAGCAAATGTTGATGCAGGCAGGTAACAAATTGCTTTGTCATTTAGGAGGCCGTAAAAGAGCATTATAATCATCTTTAGGCAAAATGGATGGGTCGCCTTTGCTTAGCTTTTAGCTTTCATTTGCAAAATCAATTTAAGGTAATGTAGCAGTTCTGAGGTGGTGTGACATGGGACACCCCCCACCCCCCACTGTCACTGAATCCCCAGACTCATGCAAAGCCAATTAAACATACTCTTGAAGGAGGCAGCTGGGATGATGAAGGAAGTATGCTTGAACAAAGCCAGGGTGGAAAAGAAGCTGAACAATGAGACCAAGAACAACCCGTAAGGGGTGATAAGTCTGAAAGTTCATTGAGGGTGACATGCTCAAGGGTACAAGGGCACACTCAAGGGGAACCGGATAGCCATTCCGGCCTCTTCAGTTAACAGAGGGAGTTTGAAATCAAATGTGCTTTGTGTACGCACACGCATACACACTCATCCCTTTATCATTATATCCCTCTATCATCCACTATTTCTTTACTTATAAAGTTTTTATTGAACACCTATTAGGTGGCCAGGCACGAGGCATTATTATCTTCATTTTATAGAAAACCAAGGCCGAGAGACATTAAGTGACTCGTCTTAGTGCTCACGGCCCATGATTGGCAGAGTGAGGCCCCACTCAGGCAGTCTGACTTCACCTGTGTCCTTAACTTCCATGCCATTTTGCTTCTTGTGAAGGAGGACAATAATAGAAATCAGTTACAATAGCAACCAAGTAATATTTATTCAGTCCTTACTCTGTGCCAAGCACTTTACATGCATGACCTTATTTAATTTTCATAGCAACCCAATGAAAATATTCCTACCCCTATTTTATAGATTAGGACATCGAGATCTAGGAAGGTTAAACAACTTGTCTACACCTGTGTAAGTAGCACATGTAGGGCCTGGATGAAACCAAGGTCTTTATGAATCTCAAATTTACTCTCTTAACATCTCTTGGAGATTAAATAGATTCCTTGGGGATGATTTTTAAATGCAGTCACAGGGATGCCTGGGCGGCTCAGTCAGTTGAGTGTCTGACTCTTGATTTTGGCTCAGGTCATGGTCCCAGGGTTGTGGGATTGAGCCCCATGTCAGGCTCCATGCTGAGCATGCAGCCTGCTTGGGATTCTCTTTCTCTTTTTCTCTCTGCCCTTCCCCCATCTCAAAAAAAAAAAAATACATCCACAAATTCTTTGTCAGTCTCCTCCCTTCAAGAAGTAGAGATAAGCCCTCTTCCATTCAGTGTGGGCTGGACAGACAGGCAGATAGGCTTGCTCTAGCAGATAGAATACCATGGAGGGGGATGGCATGTCACCTTTGACATTAGGCTATAAAAAGACTGTGGCATTCATCTTGAGTGCTCTCTCTCTCTCTCTGTCATCACTCACACTGAGGAATCCAGCTGCCATGACCTGACACTCAGGTAGCCCGTGGAGAGGCCCGTCTGGTGAGGGACTGAAGTACCCAGGAACAGAGGCCAGCCAAAACCACATGAGCGAGCAAGCTTGAAGAGGATCCTCTAGTCCCAGGTGACAACCAGCCCTGGCCACCAACTTCCCCCAACCTCCTGAGAGACCCTGAGCCCGGGCTGCCCAGTAGAGCTGCTCTTATACTCCTGGCCCACAGAAACTGGGAGATTATAAGTTGTTGTGGTAAGATCCTGAATTCTAGAGTAAGTTGTCAGGCAGCCATAGATAACTAATTAATCCCCCTAGAGATGGCCTAAGAAACTTTGTATCTTACCTATTGATGCCCAGCCTGAGTGAGACCAGGGCCATAACCTTGGTGTCAACATGGAGACCCCTAACCGATCCAATCAGTTATCAGTGGATCTGTGGTTGGTGGAGGTGCTAGAAGATGCCAAGAGGCCCCAGAGAGCTCTAGCTGGGCCCTCTGAGGACAAAAGTTCACATGGTCAATTTGGTCTCTCTCTTTCTATCTTCCCTGACAGTAATTTTGACAATAACTTGTCATAAGGAGTGAGGTGTTCTGTGGAGGAGGAAGGGGTGGAGAGCTGGGAGGGGGATGTATAATGTTATAACAGGAGAAGGATTTTTTATTCCTCAGATCTACACGTTTGTTATTTTCCTGGCTTCATGAT